AACATATCATCAATACCAAACCCTCACGCATTTTATTATATTATATTATACTATATTATATTATATTATATTATATTATATTATATTATATTATATTATATTATATTATATTATATTATAGTATAGTATAGTATAGTATAGTATAGTATAGTATAGTATAGTATATTATAGTATAGTATAGTATAGTATACTGCTCTATATATGCTCAGACCCCTTGAACCTCCGAGAAGGCGGCCTTGGCCCTGGTGCCTGGCGAGGCAGCTCGGAGCTCGGCCTCCCGGGAGCCAAGTGGATGCGGGGAGGGTGAGTAGTAAGAATAGTAATAATAGTTATTATGGTAATAATAGTAGTAATAGTAATAATAATAGTACTACTAGTAATAGTAGTAATAATAGTAATAATGGGCTTTGAGAATCTTCGGCGAAGGCCTCTGAGACCTGGGCCTCCTTCTTGGCACCGGGCCAACTCTGGAGCCCCAGGTGGGAATCTGCGCCCTAAGTCCTGGGATGTCTGAAGCATCGACTCAGAGGTACGCCTCTACTCTGCTCCCGTCCTTGCGCCGTGCAGCTGCGGATGCGCGCGTCACGGCCGTGCGCTGCAGTCGTTGGGCGAGGCAGATGCACGAATCCTCTCTGCATGACAGCTGCGCGAACATCCCTCTCAGGTGTCCTGATGCCAGCAGTTCGCAGGCAGGGAGCATGCCTCAAGACTCCACACCACAGCTGTCGGCTTCACCCTGCACTGTCTGAATTGAGCACAGGTAGAGTCTGCCATAGCAGCCAAGACTGCCGAGATCTCCCAGGCAGCAGTCAGAGCATTGCAATGTGGTACCTCAAGCGATCGAAGCAAACTTGAGCTGCGCCACCTGGTCCTTTGCCTGAGGCTTCAACGGCCGACCTTTTCACTTACTCCGTGCCGATGAAGGTTTTGCAGGCCCCCTCAGTCCCTCTCAGCGGTCGCCCAAAGGCTTCGGGTGTGGCGACTGCAGGCTTTCTTGGAAGCCACGCCAGATGCAGCCTTGCAGAGCAGACTCTGCGCTCATCGCTTCACGCACAAGATGTCCAACACCTTTGGCAAAAAGGCACTCACCCAGCTGGGAGCCAGCTTTGGGTCCTCGACATGAGTCGCTTTGATCGTCAGGCCATCGAAGCAGCCATACCAGAAGGCGAGTGGATGCGGTCGGCCCTGGCGCCCAGAGAGTGCCGGATCTTCGGGAGTCTCCTGCAGAGCCAAGTGAGCGTGAGATGCTGCATGATACTCCATCTACGAAAATCTACAATCTGCAATCAGATACAACAGAATATACTATAGCATACCCTAATATGCTATATTATGCTACAATACGTGATAGTATACTAGTAGATACTGACATATGAGAAAAGACACTACTTTCATATAGTACAAACGCACTGTCTACAGGAAGCGACTCAAAAGCCAGTAAGGAGAGCAGCTCCCGACTCCCCGCACGGCCAGAGGCCGCAAAACTCGGAGAGATCCGCTATTGTCTAGGGTTTCGGATTTAGGAAGTCAGGGGTTTGGGGTTTAGGGTCTATAGGGCCTAGTTAGGGGTTTAGGGGTTTACGGTTGTCCTGCGATCCGTGGTTACGAGACCAAGCGGAAGCAAACTGAAGTTTGGCTTCAAGTACCATGACTGGCTTCTGACTCCACCGCTTTCCAACAACTGTATGGACCTATAAACACTAGACCCTAACACTCGGATTGTGCCAGGCGGATGGAAGTGAAGCTGACGACCTCAGGCGCGGAGAGGAGACCGCCAAAAGCCAAGCGCCCATGCACTTACTTCCGGGCCATTTCGGAGTTTCTGGCTTTCTGCGGTTCAACAGTCTGGCTGACCACCCTCAACCTGTCGATTGCGCAGTTGCGCACATTTTGTGATTCCGAGACAGGGGAGGGCGTAGTGTATGCCGTCTTCTCACCTCCCGGCCTGACTGCACTAGGAGCTGGTCAGCAACGCGTCGAAGAGGCATTTGATGTATGTAGGTCGGCGGCAGTGCAAAGAACTCCCTGTTGCCAAAATCGTCAGGCTCAGCGGTGAAGCCGTGACGCCTTCCGAGCTGCCCACAAGGTCGGATGCGCTGACGAAACCGTGCCAATTGCCTACATATCTGCGTGTCTTTGACTGCAGGCTTACAGATGCTCAACAGGCAGCTGAGATGATCAGCGACCTCAGGCATGCTGCAGGGTTCGTTCTGCAGCGCCCAAACCCAGGCAAGTTGCACCCTGCATCTAGGATCTCGATCGAGAGACGAGTGATCCTCAAGGCAGGCGAGACTCTGGGCGAGAAGGCGGGAAGTCATGCTGCAGCTTCTTCTAACAACTAGGAGGTATACCCCACAAGAGGGTTTTTTTGTGTTTTTTATAAACATTATCGTATACTACCCTAAAGCCCTGTACTGATTAAGAGGGCCCGATACCATGTCGTTTGTTTGCATGGTCCTTTGTCCGTGCACTTCCCTGCGCTGTATGGGGCTGTGAGGTGGAGAGCTGGGACTGTGCTTGGGCTTGAGATATATAGTATATTGTAATAATATGATATATGATATGTTCTAATATACTATATGATAACATCTTATATTATAGTATATAAGATCATAGTATATTCTACTATACCACCATCATATATTACACATGTTATAGAACATAGTATTATGGTGCAGTATATAATGTCATATTACATAAAAAGGATCCCCGGAGAGGATTTCTGACCAATGAAGCATGAAAGATGTACATGAACCTTTGAAGCTTGTTCGAATGCAATCGACATCTTCCAGTAATGCTCGAGCCTTGCCCAACTCATGGCTTTGTTGCGTTTCTGGGCTTTCTCGACCGGGAACAACACGCACATTTCATTATTTTTTCTGTTCTCTCTCTTGGCCAAACATGGTTGAGTTGCCTGGAGAGGCGTGCGGAAGTTGCATGATTGCATACCTGCTGTATGCAGTGCCTGTGAAGCTCAGTCGACAACTTTGTTGCCTTGACATACTTTATTGAGCGATTGAGCAGATCCAGAAAGCTGAGCTCGCTTCGTTGCAGGAGCTTCGAGAACTTGCGATGGACCGGTGTTGCCTTGTTGCCTGCGTCATCTACGTCATCTAAGAGCAGCCGCCCTCCCCGAAAGACAGCTACAGGACCTGGTGACTGATGCAGTGACGGCCGCTGGGCTGGACCAGGCCACATCTGCATGTTGTCACTTTCACACCCATCTCAAGATTCCCTGCAAGGTGATTGGTATACAGTCTTGGGCCAAGGAAACTGCAACAGATTTTGCGAAGGCCATTGCCAAAGACCGGCCGTAAGATTTCTGGTGAAGCAAAAGTGTGCAGATCCTGCAGGCTGCCGCCCGAAAGTTTGACGTCAAGGTGCGCGAAGCCTAGGTGATGATCGGGGTAGCTCAGTACCAGGAGCGGTTTGAGGCGCTGATTTCTGATCTCGATTGCTGGATCTGGGCTGCCGCCCGACTTGTCTCACCGACAGCATGGTGCTAAGCCGCTTCGACGAGAAGAGCTGCCCGGCGGTTTGACGAAGTTAGACGGGCTCCTCCGATGCAGCATGAAGCTTGAGCTGCAGCTGACATATCACAGCGTTGTGGCCCAAAAGTCGGGTTGCTGGCTTCATTCTGGATCTTGCTGGTCCGCACCCAAGAAAGGACAGTAGGAAATTATGCAGCACTAGGCGGAATGAAGACAGGCAGGTGCTGCGGCGTGCATGTTCTGACAGTGCACATTTCTAAGGTCCTCTTGTGGCAATGTGGTGCCGTCCTGAGAGAGGGAGGGCAATAGTTTTATGCTGAACGAAGCAGATTTCTCAAATAGCATGCTCGAACACAGGCGAATCTATGCCTGCTACTAGAACACCACCAGCAATACGAACACGGAATAGGTCGTAGTCTTCTTGCGGGATTTGAGTAAGCCAGCATTAGCCAACAAAGCGTTGCAACCCAGACCATCCAAGACCCACGCCCGACACGGCTCAACCTCAAAGGCTTTATATCCCAAATCCGGACGGTTTCGACCTTACGCTTCGCGGATGTGGCCAAGGTGGGGAACTCCGCAGCACGTGCACAAGGGCCGCGCTGAGGCTGCCGAGGAGCCCGGGCATGCCTTGTCCACAGCGGGAGGAGACATCACTGTAGCAAACAAGGCTGCCACAAGAGCAAGTACTACACCTCCCACTCCAGCAGCAGGAACAACAGAAACGAACACATCAAGAAAAGCAATAGCAGGAACGGGAGCAGTCGCAAGATCAAGATCACTAAGAATAAGAGAACCAAGCGCCAGAGCCTCGTCCTCCTCTTGTCGTCGTCGTCGTCATCGTTTTGGCCTCCGTCGTCTCTGCAAGCTCCGTCATCATGTTCATGAAGATCAACATGAACATAAGAGCCGAGGACGATGATGATGCTGATGATGATGGTGAAGGCGATGATGACGATGATGAAGGTGATGAGGATGACAGCCACCATCATCACATTCGATCCTATTGACATCAGGAAGATCACATTCGTGTGTCAAAATCAGATCTATAGCTTGGGCAAGAGAGCAACGACCATGCGGTGATGGTGCCACAGTGGTGGTGCTGTTTGCAGTTCCGGATGTGTTTGGAGGAGGAGGAAGGCGAGTACCATGGTAGACGTAGAAGAGCAAACGCTGTTGGCTCTTGGGTCCCAGTATCAGGCAGAGAAAATGGCCGACGCTGTGCCATCCCTTGGTGCCAAAGCTGCACTTGTGACTCTTTTTATGCTCACCGCTACCGCTACAGCGTCGGCCTTCTGCGAGTGACTCGCCGGCTTGGAGAGAAGGCCCGCTGCGCGGACGCGCTTTCACCGAGGCCCAACGCCTATGGATCTTGATATCAGAGCTACCCGGACAAGCGCCAACATGCTTGATGGACCGAGATGCCTGTGTGCTAACGCAGGGCTGGGGGCCCAGGGACCTGTCGTGCTCTGGCAGGATTGCAGAGCTTGCTCGACAGCAAAGAATGCCAGTGCCCTGGATGGTCCCTTCGGCACTGAATCATGGAAAGCGCTACCGAATGCTGGCCAGGCTGCGACATCGTGTTTCTCGCATGCGAAGAGCAGATTGAAGCTCATGCTGCGCAGAGCTCATCAGCAAACGGAATATATACTGATGTCGGCAGTTGAGAAGAGGGGGACAGTCGAAGGTGGTACTGGCTGCAAGCAGCCCCAACTTCTGCAAGTACTTGAGGCAGTCTTCCATGCCCCGGGCTCAATCGCATGTTTACAGTAGCCACAGCTAGCAAAGCTGATTGTCCGAGGCGTGGACTCAAAGAGCCCTCGGCTCCTGGCCACGAAATGGAGGCAAGCGGTGCCATGGTCTCTGACATGATGGATGTTGCAACAGATACGGAGAACAAAGATTACGCTCGAGACACACTGTGGCCCAAGTGGCCGCATTTGGAGAATCAACTGTCGCAAGTGGTTCAATCCAAGCCTTTCAGGAGCTGTTCACGACCGTATCGACCAGCCCGCAGGGGACCGGAACGGAGGTTCCCGGGGTGTCTGGGCACTGGGCGCCCTTCCGCGAAGTTCCTCGTCTCGAAGCCTGAGGCCGGGCCTTCGCCCGCGCCCTGCAGAGCCGCAGGCCTGCCCTGTATTTTGCGCATTTTGCCCAGTGCTGTGAGTTGTGCCTTTGGAGTGTCCGCGACTGTCAGCGCTTGTGAGGAGAGGGAGAAGAGCCCCAAGCAGAGGTCCCCGAGCAATCGAAGGAGTCGAACGGAGTGGCAGTCGCACGGCTCGCTTCTTTCTTGGAGCCTGCCAACCAGGAGGAGCCTGGGATGGATGGAGCTGGCAAAGGCTCCGATGAGGCGGTTTCTGCAGATCGCAGATGCCTTTCAAAGTTTCTGTCTCGAATTCCGCTGCCTTAATCGCTTGCCTCACAGGCGACAGCGGAAGCGCCCATGGAAGTGGAGGTCGAAGCTTCCAAGTCACGCCCCTGAGAAAAGTATGCGGCTTCCATCGCTGTGAAAAGCAACGAGGCCGGAAGAAGCCGCCCCAGCACCGACCCCCGGGACAACTAGTCCCACAAATCCCACAAACCACGAGAAGGCAAAGGCGAGCTCCGTTGGCCTTAAGACTTCAAGAAGCTCTCCTGTCAGCCGCAGGCGGACAAGGTTCGTGTTCAGGTCAACGGCCTCTCCTCCTCAGAGGCCGAGAGGGGTTGCAATCTGTTTCACTCCACCAGAGCTGAAGTTCGAAGGCGATGCACATCCTCCTTGACTACATCTACAAGGGCAGTGCAGCCGTGCGGGCACCAGCTGACTCTTTTTCCCGACACCATCCTTTTTGTCTGTTGTTTTTCTCTGCTTTGAGCTTTGCTCAGGCCAGCTGGGAATACAAAGCTACGACTGCGCAGGCTGCAATACTGCGAGCAGCGCTGAGCACTTTCAAGCCTTGTCGGCAGGTGAACAAGGAGATCTTGCGCTTGGCCAGATACTTCGGCTTTTCGCAGCTGCACGAGCATGCGGTGGGCAGCTTAAGTGAGGCCTTTGTCTTTCTGAGATCCCGGTCCGTTTGCGCTCGAGGCGAGGTGGCTTGCAAAAGGCTTGACTACCGAGAATGTTGTGGACCGACTCGTGACGCCCAGACCTCAAAGCACATTAAGATCAACATCAGCACCAGCTTCTTCGCTACTCCCATGTTCGGAAGGTGCGAGGAGTTTGGATTAGGCCTGCTGCGCGAGAAGATCACCGAGAGGCTCCAAGATTTCACAGAGAAGAGGTGCTCAGCTCGAGTTTGTAAACCCGTTTGTAAAGGCTCGCGCTGAAGCCTGCCGAAATGATGCAAGTGTGCAGCAGCCCGGAGATCACCAAGCACCCTCGGATCTTGCAGGACACAGGGAAATCAGGGCCTGGCGGTGGCTCGCGTCATCGTCACTCGCTTGTCGATCCCTTTTTGCCTTTGTGCGAGGACCTCCTAGTGCAAGTTGCTTCGCTGAAAAAAGGCGGCACGGAGGCGACAGAGGATGCAAAAGAGGAGAAGCAAGAGCCGAAGGAAGAGAAGCCTGTGAAGCACGACAAAGCCGAAAAGGAGAAGGAGAAGCAGGAGAAGGCCGAAAAGCCGGAGAAACCGGAGAAGAAGCACGAAAAGGCAGAGAAGCCCGAGAAGCCTTCGAAGCAGGTGCCTGGGCTTGCATCCAAGTTGTCATACAAGGAGACATTAAGCCGACAAGCCGCGTCTGAGCACCTTGAGGAAGAGAAACCCTAAACCTTACTTGGAGGTT